TGAAAAGTCAAGGAAATGGAAGTTTCTTGGAGGCTTCCGTCTTTCTTCTCTCTTACTATTTGGTCTGAAAGCAATTTTCAATGCACATACTACAGGGGAATCCGTGTTGGGTCATCACAATCCCTCTGATCCACCTACTACTACTTGTATGTCAATGCTTGCCAGCTTTTTAGAAGATGCCCTTGCAGTCAAAGTAAAAACTCATGATGTCATTGATATGGGAGGAAATATAATAAAATCTGAATATGGAAGGACTCAAGCGCAGTTTGCTTTGTGAAAGATAGGTAATTGATGACTTACATTTCTCCTTTGGCTTTGTGAAATTCATGGAGTTTTTGTTATTTTTGTCAAATTTTGAATGCTTCCTTATTAATTGTTCAGAAAATTAGAGATTTTTGCTATTTTGTTAGCTTGTACCTGTCTGTCTTCACTCAAGAAGCAAAGGCATATTTTATGGCTGATGCTGTGGTATCCTTTCTTGTGGTGAGGTTGGGTAACCTCCTGATCAAGGAAACCACACTCTTATGGAGTGTACGGAATCAGGTCCAACAGATGCAAGCCAAGCTAAAACGGATACAGTGATTTCTAAAAGATGCTGACAAGAGGCAAGATGAGCATGCCAGTGTTCGGAATTGGGTTTCAGGGATAAGAGATGCTACTTATGACATTGAGGATGTTATTGACAGTTTGGTGCTTAAATTTGCACCTCGAAATGGAAGAAGAATCCATAAGCCCGTCACCAAAGGCATAGCACTTCACAACCTTGCCTCAAAAATTGACAAGATTAAATCTCAAATAATTGATCTCACCAGAAGCTTACAAACTTATGGAATAACTGCAAGAAAAGAAGAAGGAACTAGCTTAGCATTTGAGAGGCAGAGGCAGCTCAGGTGGTCTTATTCCCATGTCATTGAAGAGTATATTGTTGGGTTTGATGAAGATATGAGGCAACTGATAACACAGCTGGTGAATGAAGAGAAATGCAGAGTTGTGTCTATCTGTGGTATAGGTGGTCTGGGAAAGACTACCATGGCAAAGGCTGTTTGTCATCATGGTGATATAAGGAGACATTTTGAAGGGTTTGCTTGGGCATATGTGTCTCAACAGTGCAAAAGAAGAGATGTTTGGGAGGGGATTTTGCTGAAACTTATCACTACATCCAGGGAGGAGAGGGAGGAAATTTTAAGAATGAGAGATGATGATTTGGCAAAGAAGCTTTATAAAGTTCAGAAAGAAAAGAAGTGTTTGGTGGATGATATTTGGAGCACTGAGGCATGGTCTACTCTTAGTGTTGCTTTTCCAAATGAAACTGCTTCTAGTAGCAAAATACTGCTTACAAGACGCAACAAAGAGGGAGCTCTGATTTCTGACCGAGAGGGATTGGTTCATGAACCAAACTGTTTGAATGAAGAAAAGAGTTGGGAGTTATTCCAAAGGAAGGCATTTCCAAGGAGAGGCGATTCAGGTAGACAATCATATAACATGCTCTTCAATCCCCAGATCTAATTTTGTTACTTTTTCTGACTACATAAACCGGAATAAGCAAACTGCATTAATCTAATCTTACACTTAGGCCGTTGGTTGAAATTGGATGTGTTATTAATTCAATATGAGGAATGTTAAGCACATGTATGTGACAATTAAAATTAAGTTTCTGTTGTTGGCATGTTTTATATAGATACATGTTTTAACTTTTATGAATCTGGTGATGTCAATCTCATTGTCATATAGGATGAAATAAACTTCTATATTGGTTGTTCAACCTTCTTGAAGCATGCATGCTAAGGGAACTAATGATTATTGGTGGAAAATATGATGCTCTATGTTTTGGGTTTATGTGCATGAAATAAATTTTTAAAAATTTCCTTTTTTTCTCGTAGAGCTCAAAATCAATGAAGATAAGGAGAAGCGAGGGAGGGAAATGGTTGGAAGCTGTGCCGGTTTACCTTTGGCGATTGTTGTGCTCGGAGGGCTTTTGGCAACAAACGAAACATTGATTGAGTGGGACATGGTGAACAGAAATATCAGGTCTTATTTGGCCAAAACTAAAGGCCATGAACAAGCAAGATTATGATGGGGAGAAAAGCCAATTTGCAAATTACATTTCCATTGCATTTTTTTTCTTTATGTTTAACTTTACTGATGTGAATTGGTACAGAAATTTTTTTTAGTGTTATCCTTTGTTAGGATCTTGCTTTTTCATGTATTTTCATAGGAAATTCAAAGAGAAGGTGATGTATCTGTTGTCTGTGGAAGTGAAGATTTCTAGTCTTCTAGTCTTTTAGGGCATGTTTGGAAGCCCAGACATAACTCATGGTTGACTAAAAATTAGTCCTAAACTGCTGTAATCCACATTTGGTCCTGTCTCAAAATTGGACAAATTGTAACCTACACTTTGTGCCGTCTCAACCAACTAAATTAAAAGTTATCCCACTCCCCCGAAGGATTACATGGATGGGATTTAATTTTT